GAGGGCTACAGGGGGGGGGGGGGGGCAGATATGTACAATACTGTGAAAATCATGTTTCATTTTTATATCCAACATTTCAAACCGTGATACTGATAACCTCATTTGTTATAAATAATTAAAATAGAAATCAATTGATTTATTTTTTATCTTTGTCTTAGGCTTTTATATATCTGCAGAACGTCTTCATATCAGACATTAAAAATATGCAAATCTTGAATATTGTTACATGCAGTGGTGCTTTTAACATTTATCTTTACATCATGTACCGTAAGTGATTTAATCACTCTTTTAATGTTTTTACATGTGTGATAAACAGTATAGTGTTAGAAGGAGATAGAGGGAGAATAGTGTATGCGCTTGTTTCAGTAAGCACAGGAAGTGCTCAGCCTCTCAGTCACACATTTCTATATACAGACACAAAAAAACGACAAATGTACTCATGTGATTTACCCTGTTTGCCCAAATGAGAACTATTTACCCATGTTTATGAGCAAAACAAAGAATAAAACTTGCTTTGTGAGAGAATTAGGCTTTTGCTGCAAAGTGTTTTAGTGGCTCAGTGTGCTACTTTCTGTACAATGAAAGTAGTGAGAGGCAACTGTGGCTGACAAGTACAAAAAATACTAACTTTTTATAAATATTATTACTATTTAATATAGCTGTTTTCTATGTGAATATGTGACACTGGCTGTGAAAACCCAGCTAAAGTCAATTTTGGTGATTTACTGTTTTCTACATAAAGTCATACGTCATAAGGTTAAGAACATTCTGTGAAAATTTTACTTTGATATCTTTAATATTGACTGAGTAAGACCATGTCAAAAATTGATATCATAAATATGAATGAAATTAATGGTTGAAATCAAAATTTGATGCTTGTTATCTCATAATTAGATTTTGAGACTTTAGCCTGGATTTCACAGAGAGGGTCACATATGTTTTAAAAAGTAATTTATTGCTGAATAGACAGTTCAAAAGAAATCTTCATTATAAATGTTTTTACTGTCTCTTTTGGTTAATTTAATGCACACTCGTTGAATAAAAGTATTAATTTCTTTAAAAAAAAAAACGTACTGTCAGAAGTGTACAGCACAGCGAACACAGCATGTTTTCTCAATGACCACCAGCTTAAGAGTGTTTCAAAGACAGAGGCTGTTAACCATTATTCACTTTTCTCTATCCTCTTGCCGACAAACACAAACTTAATTTTCACACTAATGAGATCCTCTCCAACAGCTTAGCAGTATGTCAGTCCAAATTCACACAGGATGCAGTGCTCGTGGTTTACATTTTGGGGGAAAAAAACAATTTAGTGAAAAAAAGGACAGACTAAGGGTGATTTGATTTAGAGCAGTTCCTCTCTGCTGGCCGAGTTTCTCAAGTTCGTCCTGTCCGGTGAGAAAACTGAGTCTAACACAGATTAATTTCAGCTCTTTTGAGTAATGAGTGCTGTTTTTCATCCAGCAATGATCGGTAAAATGGTCATCTTTACTGTGATTATTCTCAATGGAGTTTGTTAAGTCAAGCATAACTATAACTATTGCTCCAGGTATAACTGGACATAAAATTTGGTGATAAAACAGGCAAAAACCCTGCAAAAAATACACTGAAGGAGCGTCCTGATTCAAATCTAGAGATCAAAATATCCTAGAGTCTATTCTAGAGACATTCAAGCAAGAGCAGCCACTGAACACCTTAGCAACCTCATAGCAACAAACTCAGACCACTTACAACACCCTGAAAATCAGTGCAGCTTGACTGAATACTGAATGACTGAATAGCCCCTTGCAACCCACCAGAAGACCCAAACAACTACATTGCAATGCATTAACAACCACTCAAAACACCTTAATTATTGCATAGCAATGCCCTAGCAACAACCCAGAACACCCTAGCATTGTGACGGTTCTGAATGGACGTACAGCACTCACATTTTTCTGAAGTCTCAGGAAGATATTCATAAACAGAAAATGTTTCATACAGTAAGATGAAGGCCAATATCACCATCCAGAACACAACAACATTCTAAAAACTATTCAGAACACCTAAATGACAGCATAGCAATGCCCTGGTAACCACCCAGCAACATTCTAACAACTGTTCAGAACACCTTCAGGACTGCATAGCAGCACCCTGGAAACCACATAACAACATTCTAACATCTGTTCAGAACACCTTAAGGACTGCATAGCAACACCTTGGAAACCACATTGCACCATTCTAAAAACTATTCGGAACACCATAATGATAGCATAGCAACACCCTGGTAAATGAGGAATATTATACCATAAGATGAAGGTCAGTTTCACATTTTTTTCTAACCCAACTCCATACCGCTATAATTATGACATTATTGTTGGTGTTTTTAGAGAGAATGTTTCACACAGACCCACTGCTCTCTCTCTCTCTCTCTCTCTCTCTCTCTCTCGCTCTCTCTCTCTCTCACACACACACACACACACACACAGACTGCACAGTATTGGGAAACTGATGGCTGGGAATGCCAGCAAACCAGTCATATGAATCAGCCAGATTTGATTACATCTCTGTGTGCCTCAATGTGCTCTTTCAATTTCAGCTACACTACCTTCCTCTAAAATAACGCACACACACACACACACACACACGCAGTGAAAGCATGGCAGTGTTCCTCTGCTAATGTGGCAGGTTTGATTGGGATATGTGCTGTTATAATAGCAGCCATTGATAAGCTTTAATCGGATTCTCTGTGGCATTTGGACAGACAGTAACAGAGAGTCATGCACAGACCCGGCTCTGCTGTGGGCAAATGTCAGCAGTTCAGCTCTCAGCCTCACTGCACCCTTCACTGCCCAATGATCTATGTTTACATCTGTGCATATGGAAGCTTGTTTCTGGTACAGAATAGAAAAATAAAAAAAAGTTAATGGCTACTTTTTATCTCAGAATTGAGTTTTTCTGACTTTTTCTCACAATTGTGAGTTTTATATCTCACATTTCACGCCCTTTTATCACAATGAACAATAAAAAAGGTCATTAGTTTTTTTTTTTTCCCCAAGAGAAAATCTAAAATCTAAATAGCTTAAGCTGCATAAAAATTGTATTATTTATTTATTTATTTAGAGAAACAAATGAGACAACTTTACAATAAGGTCTCATTTGTTAACATTAGTTAAT